TAGTTCCACAGTGGAACAAGTTGATACCGCTAGTCCGCGGCCAGTGCCAGGGCTCTTGAGCCCGACAGCCCCTTCTCGATCCCAAGTGCAGACTGCAGCACCATGGCTGGCGCCGGCCGAAAGGAACGCCAGGACTGGGCTTGCAGGAGCTGCACGACGAAGCGCGGCAAGCCGCTCATCAACTTCGGGACCTCGCTCAAGTGCCAAGGGTGCAGGCTCCACAAGAAGGACGTGTACGGCGGGCCTGTGCCGCCGAAGGAGCCCTCGATGCGGGCCCCAGCCAAGGGCAAGAAGCGGGCCCCGTGGACGGCTGAGGGCAAGCTCGAGAGCGAGCTTGCGGCCATTCGGGCGGAGCTCGACGCTGCCAGGAAGAAGCTTCGCACGCAGGAGTCCGACCAGGGCGGGGCCGCGCCCATGCACGTGGACGAAGGCAAGTCAGGCGAGGACGCCTCGGCTGCGAGCGAGATCAAGGTGTGCGAGGCAGGCCTGGCCACGCTCAAGGACGTGCAGCACGACTGGGCCACGGGCCCGCGGGAGGATCTCAAGCGCAGGCTCGCCGCCGCCAAGGACAGGCTCTTCGCCGCCAAGCCGCTCCACGCGCGGGTGCAGGCGCTGGCCCACAGGCAGAAGAATCTGGCGGACAAACTCAGCAAGATGGAGCTGGCCGAGCGCGAGGCGGAGGACCGTGTCAAGAAGGCGCAAGACGAGCTGGAGCTCAAGCGGCATGGTGTCAGAGAGCTCAAGGCGCAGCAGGTGGCCCTCCAGGCGGAGCTGTCGGCACTCCAGCAGCAGGTCCCAGTCGCGCCAGAGGATCGTCCGCCTGGGCAGTCCATGGAGCACGACGTCATCAAGAACACGGGCGGCCTCACCCTCGGCGACCTGGCGCAGGCCCTCAGCGGTGCTCTGGCCGCTCACCCCGACGACACCATGCAGACCGCGGGCGATTTGCCGCAGCGGCTGGCCTCGGCGCTCGGCGGGCCCCTCCAGGAGCTCATGCTGCGGCGGCAGCGCGAGCGGGCCGCCGCCACGGAGGCAGCGAGCGCCCCTCGCACCCCTGCAGCGTCCGTCGAGGGAGACGACGCCGCCGCCGCCGCGCATGGCGCAGGCACTGCAGGCGGCGCCGCCCCTGCAGCCGCAGCGCCGCGCTGGGATCCCGCCGCGATGGAGCCCGAGAAGCTGCGGCAGACCATGGCGGAGTTCTCGCCAGGGCCAGCAGAGGAGACCAGCGACGCCATGCTGGCGCGCGCCACGGAGCTGGCCGTCAGGGGATTCAATCCTTACTAAGCTCATCATCGCGATGTCCTGCACACTTGCGATGGCGAAAGGCACTATCACTACCAGCAACGTGACTTCCTGGGGTTCATTGGCGCCGTGCCTAAAGACCCTCGAGTCGCACGTCGTTCTCGTCCAGGAGCATCACCGACGGGACGAGGCGAAGCTCGCCGACCTGCAGCACGAGGTGCTGGATCACGGGTTCGCGGGCATCTGGGCGCCAGCAGTGGCAGGCCCCACCTCCGCGGAGGGCACTACGGGCGGCGTCGCGGTCTTGGCCCGCAAGAACATCCCCGTCACGGCCCCGCCGCTGCTGCCCTCGGCGACACTGTGGCCAGGGCGACTGGTGGCCGCCCACGTGCACTGGGGAGTCCGTGGCGGCATTGTCTTCGTGTCGGCCTACCTGGTCGACAGCGTTGGCATGAACGACGTGAACCGAAGCATCTTCGGCGCGCTCACTCGCTACCTCACGAAGCTCACTGCCTCGGGCATCGATTGGATCGTCGGCGGCGACTTCAATGGGCCTCCCAGCTGCCTGCCCCTGGCGCAGTTGGAAAAGGCGGGGGGCCTCTGGCTAGCGCCGTCGGCCGACACCTGCCGCCCACAGGCGGGCAGCGGCTCGGTGCTGGACTACTTTCTGGTCGGTGCAAACCTGTCCAGCCGCATCTCGGCTCCGAGAGTGGATGAGTTGGGCATCACCTCCCCGCACCTCCCTGTCAACATGGAGCTGCGTGCCGCCGACCTGGACATGCGCGTGAGGATCCCGATCGCCCCCAGGGCGATTCCAGCGGTGCCGCCCATCGGCTGCAGCCGCGGCGTCGAGGACTGGGCGCCCACTTTGGCCCAGGTGCGCGCCACAACCAGCGCCGAGGAGCTGCCAGCAGCCTGGGACGCCGTCGTCAGCACCTTGGAGCAGGAGCTGTTGGACCGCTACGACCAGGTTGGCGAAGCGCGCAGGCGGTTCGAAGGACGCGCGGGGCCCATTGCGACCAAGCTGGCGCCAGTCAAGTGGAAGCCGCAAGGGCAGCGTGTCCGATTGGGGCCTGATGTCATCGCGGCCAAGGTCGCGGGCCGATGGGCGCGACACTTCATGGGGGTCAGCGCGTTCCTCGCGAAGGCCAGCAGGAGGCTGCAAACCGCCAGCCTGCAGTGCTCCCTTGTCCCTGAGCAGTACCACGAGCTGGCGGACTTCGTCGTGAGGGCTTTGGAGTATGGGCGCGTGGTTATGGACAGCAAGAAGACGCTGGCACTGCTCCCGCATTGGGTGAGGTCCTTCTTCGAGCAGGGCTTTCGCGTGATCGGCAACACCGACTTCCTGGAGCAGGCGGGCCGCATCGTCCAGTTCGCCAAGGACGCCCACGCGGACGCGCTCAAGGTCAGGCAGCAGAGCTGGATCCAGTGGGCCAACGACAGCCTGCGGAACGGCGCTGGCAAGGCGCACCGCTTCACCAAGCTGCGGGCGATGCAGGAGGTGCTGGCGCAATGGCAGGGTACCCACACCGAGCTCACCACTGGACGGCTCGCCCAGACCTTCGTCCCGCAGCAGCAGGTCGCCAGCCAGCACCTGATCTGCGACCGGGAGATGAAGGCCTGGGAGGACGTCTGGTCGTGCCACAAGCTCGAGGCGCTGGAAAGGCCAGCTGACTTCGTCGAATGGGACGACCTCGAAGACCTCACCGTGGAGGCGCTGCAGCGGGCCGCCTGCAGCTTCCCCACCACCACGGCGCTCGGCCCAGCGCAGATCGGTATGCGCGCGCTCACCTTTCTCACGGACGACGGCGTTTACACCTGCGGCCAGCTCTTCATGAAGTGCGAGGCGCTGGGGGCTTGGCCCAGCGAAAGGCTGTGGCACGCTATGTGCCGCATCCCCAAGGCCTCTGGCGGCTGCAGGCTGATCACGCTGATGCACTCGCTAATCCGATGGTGGTCGAGGGCTCGTGCCTCGACGTCCAAGGCGTGGCTGACGGCGCACCCCAATGCCAGTATTTGGGGCATGGGCGACGGCAGATCTTCCTCCGACTCCGCCTTCGACCTCAACCTTGAGACGGAGGTATCGGACTGCCTGGACGAGCACGTCGTAATCGTCATGCTGGACGCCTGGAAGTTCTTCGAGACGATTAAGCCCGAGTGGCTACTCATCGAGGCGCGGCTGCTGGGCATGCCGCTGCGGTTGGTCTGGATGTTGATTGAGATATACAGGCAGCCGAGGCGGCTGCAAGCTTTCGGCTCGGTGTCCTACGCGGTCGTGTCACATCAGGGCGTGCTCTCAGGATGCACTCACGCCTGTGCCATGGTCACCTTGCTCATGTTCAGGCTGCTCGAGCAGGTGCGAGATGCAGGCGTCACCCCGAGGGCCCTCATCGACGACGACACCTTGCAGTGGCGCGGGAGGCGGCTCTCGCAACTGGGCGTGCTTTGGGCGGCCACCACCAGGTTCCGCGAGGGCGCCCAGGAGCGAGGCATTGTCGTGCAGCCCACCAAGTCGGGCTTCTTGGTCTCATCGGACGCGGCTGCTCGCGAGTGTGCCCGACACGCGGCGGCCCGCAAGCTGACCAAGATGCGCTGGGCCCGCAACCTGGGGCACGATCTGGGCGGGCGCAGAATCGCTAGGCTCCAGACGGCAAAGCGGGTGCGGCAGCTCAAGGAGCGGCGCGGCAAGGTGGCAGCTTTCAAAGGGGCAGTGGGCAGGCGCGCTACCTGCCTGTGGAAGACGGGCCTCATGCCGAGTGCGGCGCACGGTGCTGGGGTGTCAGGGCTCACCGACGATACGCTGCAGGTGCTGAGGGCCGAGGCTGGCAGGCTAGCAGGGGCTCGGCCAGGTGCATCGAGCGTCACGGTGTATTTAGCCACGCAGAAGGCGCGCGAGTACGACCCCATCTACGGCGCCACCTGCGACATCGTTTGCCGATACGCCAGCTGGATCTGGGAACAACGCACCTCCCTGGCTAGGCTCCACAGGGCCTGGGCCAAGGTCACGGAGCGGCTCGTGGGGCGCCCGTCCTGGGCAGGGGCTCGCGGTCCCATCGCCTCCGTCACGCTGACGCTCTGGCGCATCGGATGGCACATGTACTCCAGCACGACCCTGGTCACCGACCAGGATACGGCGATCAACCTCCTCACCACGTGCCCGAAGGACGTCAGGATGCATCTGACCGGCGGCGTGCAACGCTGGCAGGCGAGGCAGATCGCGGCGCACCACCGCCAGCACGGCGAGGTCAAGCCTCGGGTGCGGGCCATGCGGCTCTGCGTGGGCGACGGGCGCGCGGCGTTGGCGGAGGGCCCGTCGGCCACCAGCCTGCGTCACCACTGGGCGACGGTGGCCTGGACGCAACAGGCCCAGCACGACCTTGGGCTGGCGGCGGCGCCGAATTGCAGGGCCTGCGGACATCCGTCCGACTCGCCTGGGCACAGATTTTTCGGCTGCGAGGTACTCGAGCAGCCGCTCACAGAGGAGGAGCAGGACGAGCAGCTGCCGCCCGAGCCGATGCAGGCCATCCGCACCTTCATGTGCGACAAAGGCCTGCAGGAGGGCGGCAGCTTCGAGAGCGCCGACGTCCAAATGTGCTTGCCCTGCATGCCGCCATTCGTGCCGCCCGCCGCGGAGCAGGCCGAGGTGAAGTTCTGGGGCTGCTGGCCTAGCCAAGGGGCGGACACGGCTTCCTGCAGCAACGCCGTCTTCACAGATGGCTCAGGCTTCGCGTCCAGCATGCCCGAGCTGAGGCGCTGCGGATGGGCCTTCGTGCAGCTTTCCCTCCAGGGACTGCCTGTTCGGGCGGCGTTCGGGGCGCTGCCAGGGCCGCTCCAGACGGTCGGGCGCGCGGAGAGGCACGCGCTGCTGCAGGCATTGCGGCTCGCGGGGCCGCAGCTCGAGCTCGTCTTCACCGACCTTCTGTCGATGGAGAAGGAATGCAGCCACTGGGGGCAGGAGCTAGAGGAGGCGCGAGCGGCACATGCCACAGTGTGGAGACGGATTCGTGCCCAGCCAGCGCGGCCTGAAGTGAGATGGATCCCCGCGCATCAGGACATGGATGCGTACTTGGACCGAGGCCCCCACCCGCTGCTGTACTCTGGCAACATGTGGGCCGACTGGTTCGCTCGGCAAGGAGCCATGCAGCACACCGTGTCGAAGGTGTACGAGGAGTTCTACAACATCGAGCTGCGACACTACAAGAGCCTGGCAAAGTACGTCGGCTGGGCGATGCAGAGGACGATGCACGCAGGCCGCTGGGATGCGCCCGAGCAGACAGCCCGCCCGCCAAAGGTGCCCAAGGTGCAGGCGGCGACTGTGATCAGCCACTCCCTGGTTCGCCTGAACGGGACGGCGGTGGTGCTGTGCCGCGCTTGCTGCAGGCAGACCAGCGGGCAGACGGGGCCCACATGGACGCAGTTCGTGCGTTCAGCTTGCGAGGCCAGCCAGTACACCGCGCTGCGGGCCGAGGCCATCATCGCGCACGTCGGCGCGCAGCCCATTGTGGTCTCGGAGGCGGGCGAGTTCGCTATGCAGGCGATCGAGCGCGCGGCGTGCCCCGAAGATGCGGGGCCCAGGCCAGCCGAGCCTGCCCCCTGGGGCTCAGGGGACGGCGCCATCGAGATGCAGGGGCACAGGCTGAGGCGCGCAGGGCCCACCATCTACTGCGAGGTATGCGTGGCGTGGGCGGCGACAGGCTCCTCACTGGCCCTGGCTGCGCCCTGCGCTGGCCCGCCCAGCGCCGAGGGCAAGAACCAGCGCACCTACCTGTCCAACCTCAGGGCGCGGCTCAAGAAGCTCAGCCAAGGGCTGCACCCCAAGACAGGAAAGGTGCTCACTTGGGGAGGAGCAGGCGAGGCTCCAGACGGCCCCAGAACATGGGCCACAGCGGCGGCCAGCGCGGCCGCGGGCGACATGGCCTCTGGGGGCGACGGCGCTGCAGAGCGGCCAAGCGGCAGGCACGCGCAGAAGGAACAGGGCGAGGCGACCAGGCCTGGCCAGGACCACGAGACGCGCGAGGTGCCTGCAGGGGCTGGTGGTTCCGACGCAGTCCAGACCAAGAAGCCTGCTTGGCGGGTGCGACGGCAGGAGCTCCTGGAACGGATGCAGCGAAGGCAGCAGCATCTGCTAGCCGAACGTGGTCCAGCAGCCGCCAGCGGCGCGCAGCGTGATGAGGGAGACATGGCCGACGGCAGCTTGCCCTCGGCCTATGGAGCGCACCAATGCCCCGACGGGGGCACCACTGGACTGGTGACGCTCCAGCCGCCGCCAGCTGCCCCAGACGTGGGGGTGGTCGATGCCTGTCTGGCGGCGGGGCCGTCGCGGCTGCCTGCGCCCTAGAGGTGTGACCTGGCACACGAGGTGACGCTGACCACGGACCACCAGGAGGGCGCCGTGACCAGCCCTCAGGACATGAGCAGCCCGCCGCAGCCGTTCTCGACTACCGATCTGGCCAGCACCAGGGGTGGCAGGGGACCTGCAAAGTGCGGTCGCGAATGCGGCCCCGCCCTGAGTGCTGGCAGGTCTGACAACTCGCAGCGGGCGCTGCCAGGCATGGCCAGTGACAAGGGTGGCAGGAGGCCTGCAAGCCGCGACCCTGAGTGCGGCCCCACCTTGGGCACTGGCGGCCACGGCAGCCAGGCCCACCGCGTGCGGCGACGATTTACGGCCTGGGCCAGGGGTGGCAGGGGACCTGCAATGTGCGTGCGTGAGTGCGGCCCCGCCCTGAGCCCAGGATGCGACGAGGACCGCGACGGCAAGGGTATGGCCAGCGCCAGGGGTGGCAGGGGACCTGCAAAGTGCAGTCCTGTGTGCGGCCCCGCCCTGGGCACTGGCAGCGGGTCTCTGGAAGCGGCGTCGCCTGAGGAGGACCAGCGGCAGCCGCAGCTGGCTTCTGGGGAGGCGTGTCCACGTGCAGCTACGGCTGGTGCCAGGGGTGGCAGGGGACCTGCAGTTTGCGGTCCTGAGTGCGGCCCCGCCCTGAGCACCAGCACCCACCCCGAGCGGCGACGGATTGCGGCCTGGGCCACGGGTGGCAGGGGACCTGCAATGTGCGTGCGTGAGTGCGGCCCCGCCCTGAGCCCAGGAAGCGACGCGGACCGCGACGGCATGTGCATGGCCAGCACCAGGGGTGGCAGGGGACCTGCAAGTGCCGACCGTGTGTGCGGCCCCGCCGTGAGTGCTGGCAGAGTTGCGGTGGCTCGGCCTGAGCCAGCGCAGCCGAGGCGCAGCGTCGCGCCCAGGCTTGAGCTGCAGGTCGCTGGATGGGCGCGGTACTGGACCCAGGCTCCCGAGGTCGGCGAGACGATGGAGTGCTACAGCGAGTGGCTCGACCACTGCGTCGGCTACGTCACGCAGATCCTGTCCCAGCCGCGCTTCGCCACCAGGCTGCGGGCGCGTGGGAGGACGGCCGAGGAGATGGCCGAGGAGATCTGCGAGCGGGCCTGGGGGACTGGCATGCCCGCGAGGCGGGCCTACTACAGGTGGCGCCACACGCTGACGCGGCCGCAGAGGATCGTGTCGGACTGCATGCGGCGCTACGACTACGTGTGCCTGCGGACGTGGCTGGCCGAGCTGCGACGGGAAGGGCAGCCACCGCCCACTGGCCCGCTCAGAGCGCCTTCGGTGCCGTGGAATGCGGGACGCAGGAGGCGACGGAGAAGTGGTTGAGGGTCGGCCTCCCCTGGCACGGGCAGCCGCTGCGTGGCGTTCTGGCCCCAGCGGCTCGCCGCAAGGCGCTGCGCGGCGGTCTGGCCCCGGCGCGCCGCCCTTCGCGTCCGTCGACGTGATCGGCATCACTGGCCTCCCCTGAGGCTGCGGCCCCCTGGCCGCCTGTGCTGCGTCTAGTTGGCCTGGCCGACGCGACGTCCTGCCGCTGCTCTCCGCTGCTCTCCTCCTCCTCCTCCTCTTCCTCCTCCTCCTCCTCCTCCTCCTCCTCCTCCTCCTCACAACTCCGCCTCCCCCTCTCCCTCCCCCTCCTCCTCCTCCTCCTCCTCCCTCTCCTCCCTCCACCTTTTCCTTCTCCTCCTCCTCCTACACCCCTCCCCTCCTCCTCCCCCTCCCCCTCCTCCTTCATCTCCTCCTCCTCTCCTCCTCCTCCTCCTCCTCCTCTTCCTCCTCCTCCTCCTCTCCTCCTCCTCCTCCTCCTCCCCTCCTCCTCCTCCTCCTCCTCCTCCTCCTCCACCTCCTCCTTTTCCCCCTCCCTCCCCCTCCTTTGCCCCTCCTCCTCCCCTCCTCCTCCTCCTCCTCCTTCCTCCACCTCCCACCTCCTCCTCGCTCCTCCTCCTCCTCCACCTCCTCCTCCTCCTCCCGTCTCCCCCTCCCCTCCCCTCCCCCTCCCCCTCCTCCTCCTCCCTCCTCCTCCTCCCTCCTCCTCCTGCTCCTCCTCCTCCCGCCTTCCTCCATCCCTCCTCCACCTCCTCCCTCCCCCGCCCCCTCCCCCTACCCCCTCCCCCTCCTCCTCCTCCTCCTCCTCCTCCTCCTCCCCTCCTCCTCCTCCTCCTCCTCCTCCTCCTCCTCCTCCTCCCCCTCCCCCTCCTCCTCCTCCTCCTCCTCGCTCCTCCTCCCCTCCTCCTCCTCCCCCCCTCCTCCTCCTCCCTCCTCCTCCCCTCCTCCTCCTCCTCCTCCTCCTCCTCCTCAACTCTCCTCCTCCCCCTCCTCTCCTCCTCCCCCTCCTCCTCCTTCCTCCCCTCCTTCCTCCTCCTCCTCCTCCTCGCCTCCTCCTCCTCCTCCTCCTCCTCCTCCTCCTCCTCTTCCTGCACCTCCCCCTTCGCTGTTTTTTTCCGAGCTCTCGGGGCCTTCAGGAGCTCTCGGGGCTGTCAGGAGGCGGCTCAGCAGGAGAGGCTGGTCCTGGGGCAAGCCCCAGAGGCCAGGGCCCGTTCCCCTCGGGGCCCGCCATGCTAATCTTACGTCCGGCCCGTCCCTCCACAGGAGGAACATCCAAAAATAGTCCAAAAATAGTCTGGAGACTATTTTTGGATATTTTGTTGGGACCATTTTGGAGTATTTTTTCTAACTATTTCTTATTTTTCCTAGAAGATCCCCTGTAGGGGGACAGGCCCGACCTAATGCTAATCCCACCGTCCCCGCCAGCGCCCAGGCGCCTCTCCGGTGCCGCTGCTTCAGCTCATCGCGCCGTGCTCCTCCTTGGCCTCCTCCGCGATCCAGTCCTCGTTGGTTCTGCTGCCAGTTTGAGCCGCGCGCGGGGTTCCCAGAGGGGGGCTTAGTAGGAGGCGGAGGAGGAGGGGGAGGAGGAGGAGGAGGAGGAGGAGGAGGATGATGATGACTATCTTGTCTGACGTTAACGCGTGCAGCCCCCACATGCTCCTGGACAGTTGGCGAGGCCGTCCAGGGCCCGAGGGCACCTGCCGCGGGGAAGGGGACGCAGAGCTCCACGCAGAGATTCAGGACTCCGACCCGGGCGCACGCCTGGCTGAACGAGGCGATGGGCAGCGCGCACATGAAAAAGGGCCCATGCAAGGCGCCCCTGACACGCTGAACGTCACGCACCAGGCTCGCCCTCCTGGCTATCCCGATCCTCGAAGCACAGATGGTCCACACACGATACCGCCACGTGCTGTACAGCAACGCGGGCAGCGGCAGACCTCCGTGCCCACCCGCAGTGGGCGCCCCGCAGCGGCTGCACGTGCAGCGCTCTCCGCCACAGCATCGACGGACGAGGCAGACGCCACAGAGAGCACATCCAGGATCGCCAGGATCGAGCCAGCTAGGCTCGAGGTCGGCTTCCCGCCGCTCCAGGCCCGCATCCCAGGATCACGGCCTCTGTGCCGCCAAAGCCGTCCTCCGCAGCAGCCGCTCCTCCATCCGCACGGCCAGGTTCGCGAACCGCCACGCCCTCTGCTGGAGAAGCGGGAGAACCAACGTGCTGAACTATCCCCGCAGGGCCAGGGGTGGCGTCACCTCCTCCAGACAGACCACCAGCGCCAGGCTGGGGGTCGGGAAGCCTCTCAGCGCGGAGCGGCTCCCGAGGAAGCTCAGCACGAATAGGAACGTCACCTCCCCGGCGCAGCCAAGCAGCAGGACAGGCCAAGTGACAGTGCCGAATAAGAAAACGTTGTCGAACACATCGCAGCCGAAGCGCACCCCGCGGGAAGTGCCATGAGTTCGGCCAGACGCAGCGGCACGGCCAGCACGGCAGCAGGGACCCCGAGAGCGCGTGCTTGCCACTGATGCTTGTCACGATTCGCTTCACGATGAACTCGAACTGCGCCACGAAGTGTGTCAGGACCAAGCCCAGCGTGAAGGCTCGCATCTCGAGCATAGTGGACAAGCTTGCCCGCCAGTCGATTGTGGATGTCGTGCAGCTCCAGGGACTGCAGCATTGCCCGAGCACGATGGGCCAAGCGACGAGGGACCGCCAGCGGCACCGCCTCAGAGGAGGAGGATGAGGAGGAGGAGGAGGAGGAGGAGGAGGAGGAGGAAGACGAGGATGATGAGGACGAGGCGAGGAAGTGGATGATGATGATGATGCTGGTGATGATGGCGATGATGATACTGATAATGATGATTATGATGACGATGACGATGGCGATGACGATGATGATGCTGATGCCGATGCTGATGATGATGATGATGATGATGATGATGATGCTGATGATGATGATGATGATGATGATGATGATGATGCTAATGACAATGATTATGCTGATGATGATGATGTTGTTGATGATGCTGATGCTGATGATGATGATGAGGATGAGGATGATGGTGGTGGTGATGATGAAACTGATGATGGTGATGGTGGTGATGATGATGCTGATGCTGATGCTAATGATGATGGTGATGGTGACGATGGTGATGATGATGCTGCTGCTGATGCTGATGATGATGATGATGATGATGCTGATGCTGCTGATGTTGATGATGGTGGTGGTGGTGATGATGATGATGCTGATGATGATGATGATGCTGATGATGATGATGATGCTGATGATGATGATGATGATGATGATGATGATGATGATGATGATGATGATGATGATGATGATGATGATGATGATGATGATGATGATGATGATGATGATGATGATGATGATGATGATGATGATGATGATGATGATGATGATGATGATGATGATGATGATGATGATGATGATGATGATGATGATGATGATGATGATGATGATGATGATGATGATGATGATGATGATGATGATGATGATGATGATGATGATGATGATGATGATGATGATGATGATGATGATGATGATGATGATGATGATGATGATGATGATGATGATGATGATGATGATGATGATGATGATGATGATGATGATGATGATGATGATGATGATGATATGATGATGATGATGATGATGATGATGATGATGATGATGATGATGAGATGATGTTGATGATGATGATGATGTTGATGATGATGATGGTGATGATATGAGGAGGTAGGAAGGGGAGGAGGAGGTGGGAGGAGGAGGAGGAGGAGGAGGCGGAGGAGGAGGAGGAGGGAGGATGGGAGGAAGGGGAGGAGGAGGAGGAGGAGGAAGGAGTGAGGAGGAGGGGAGGAGGAGGAGAGGGGAGGAGGAGGAGGAGGAGGAGGAGGAGCGAGGAGGAGGAGGAGGAGGAGGAGGAGTGAGGGAGGCGGAGGAGGAGGAGGAGGAGGTGGAGGAGGGGAGAGCAGGAGGAGCAGTAGGAGGGCAGGGAGGAGGAGGAGAGAGGAGGAGGAGGGGAGGAGGTAGGAGGAGGAGGAGGAGGACGTGGAAGGAGGAGGAGGAGGAGGAGGAGGAGGGGGAGGAGGAGGAGGAGGAGGTGGAGGAGGGAGGAGGTAGAAGGAGGAAGGAGGAGGAGGAGGAGGAGGAGGAGGGAGGAGGAGAGGAGGAGGAGGAGGATGGGAGGGAGGAGGAGGTAGGAGGGAGGAGGAGGAGGTGGAGGGGAGGAGGAGGAGGAGGCGGAGGGAGGTAGGAGGAGGAGAGGAGGAGGTGGAGGAGGAGCGAGGAGGAGGAGGAGGAGGAGGAGGAGGAGGAGGAGGAGGAGGAGGGTGCGCGAGCGATTCCAGGACCGCGATTACGACTTCTACGGCTACTGAGCGGCCGCGCCTCGGTCCTCCTCGCGCTTCAGGCGCAGCAGAAGAGTGGTCCGCGGCCCGCCGTGCGCGGCGCTGGCGCTGCTCTTGCGCGCTCTGCTCGTGCGCGTGCTTGCTCGGCAAGCCACCTCGGACCCGGGCGCGCCGTGCCAGTCAGCAGCTGTGTGCCGTTGGCTGCAGCTGCCGCCGGCCCGAATCTGGGCGGCTGCCGGTGGTGATCCTGGCCCCCCAGGCTCCAGCCTTCTCCTCAGGGGGGCAAGAGGCACCGATGCCACCACGGTCGGACCGGGGGTATGAGATCGAGGTCGGTTCGGGGAGGGCACCCTGATGTTCTTCGAGCTTGTTGGATGCTCTTGTGCATCCCAGGGGGGGTACCTTTGAATGTTCTTCAGCTTGGCCGGCGGAGGGTCTCGTGTTCTCGAAGGATTTTCTTCTGTCCAAGGTCCGGATGTACCACTGTCCCGCTGACTCGAAGAGTGACGACGCCATACACATCGACTTTTGGCGCCACGCGTTTGTGTTTATGCCGTGTTTTTTTTTTATTTTTGTTTTTTTTTTGGTTGTTGTTTTTTTTTTTCTTCTTCTACTTGTCTCGTTTTCATCTCTCTGGGCCTCCTTGGAGTCGACGACACGTAAGAGTGACCTTTCGCCGGAGTGGCCTTTGGTGCGGGCTCATCGGGCTCCCCCCGATCGCCGCGCGCGGTGCGACATAAGCGGCCCGCGCCCCTGGGTTGGGCCCTCTCGCGCCCCCAAAGGCTGCGCACCAAAGGTCACTCTTACCCAGGGTCACTCTTACGCCTAGCCGATTGGAGGCCCTCGTCGCCCTGGCTAGGTCGGCCTCGACGTCCCAGAGACCGAGCGCGCTCCGAGGGAGGCCCGTGGAGGGCGGCGGTGTCGGGTGCCTCTTTGGCCTTCCACTGCGGGTGGGGCTCCAGCCTGTCCAGGGAGACCCCACAGCCATTCCAGGGAGGCTCCAGCCTCGCATGGTTCGGTAGCAAATCATGGGAGGGTAACTATACCCTCTTCAATTCCGTCTTTGGCGTCGACTGGCGTCGATTAGCGTCTGGGAGTCGATGAGATAGCGCCGACTTAGCGTCGGTTGGCGTCGACTGCCGTCGAATTAGCGTCCATTGGCGTAGATCTAGCGTCGAGCGTCGCTTCAGCGTCGACTCGCAAGAGCCAGGGAGGTGGTATGGAAGGCCCCCACGAGTTGACACAGAACCAGGGGGCTGCCCTGGATCGGCGGTGTTCCTCCACCGAGGGAAGAAGAGCCCGATCTCGGTGATGGTGGTAATATTCTGGCTTCTAAGGTGACCGAAATATTACCACCAACACCAAAATCTAGGATCATCTCTTCCTGTGGAGGCAGCCCCCTGTCTTGGTGTTGGTGCCCATTTCCAGGTATCCAACGAGGGGCGGGGTTTGGGCAGGGAGGGAGGAGGCATATGAGATTTCCTGCGCGCAGCTGGCCTCGGCGCCGCCGCTGGGCACACTCCTCGATGCGCGGCCGCATCCCGGCGCTGCGAGGCGCTAGGAGTGCCGCCGGATGCATGCAGCTGACTTTAAGTCGGGCATATCTTTCTGCAGCAGGGGTACTCAGACATAGTCCAAAACAGTTCGGGGACTATTTGTTCGACAATTTTCGAACGGCCGGTGCCGCCGACCCTGAAGACGACGAAGACGAAAACGAGCGGGGGTGGGGGTAGGAGGCGGAGGAGGAGGAGGAGGAGGAGGAGGAGGAGGAGGAGGAGGAGGAGGAGGAGGACGAGGAGGACGAGGAGGACGAGGAGGAGGGGGAGCAGCGAGGGGAAGCGAATAGGAGCAACCAATTCTGGAGGCCTCGGCTCTCGACCGAAATGGGAGGGAGAGGGCGGGGACAAAACCTTTCCAAAAATGGATGAATATGGCCCTTCCGGGCCTTCTTGAGAATCCTTGTGGGGCTCCTTTGACCCGTCTGAGGGCCCCCTTTGGCCGTCTTTAGGCGTTCTTGGGCTGTCTTGTGGGGCTTGGACCGTCTAGGGGCGCTCTTGCAGATCCGTCGTGGCGACCCCCCCTCCTCCAGCGCATCTACAGAGGGCCCCTCTGAATAAGCCGCAAACGGGGATGATATTTTGACCCGGGACCCCCCCCCGGGACCCCCCCCCATGGGACCCTTCCCCTTGGCGGGGAAGGCATCACAGGGAAGGGGCTTCCCTTCGACTCAATGACAACGTTCTTAATTTCGCTTTGGCTGGGTTGCTTCGTTTCGCTTTGGCTGGCGCGCTTGAGGACGAGGGCCCAGGGAAAGAGGGGGGAGCGGCGACGGACCCAGAGAAGAAGACGACGAGTACGTACGAGGACAGCAACCACGACGAACAACGCATTCCGCACGCCGACAGGGTCGGCGGATTTGATGACAATTTTCATTTCTTCCAACATCCGCCTGTGGGAGGACATGCCCGACCGAAAGCTGATTCCCAACGCCCCGCCCCTTTGCCTCCCCCCCCTCCACCCACCCCGGTCGATGTCCTCCAGAGCACCCCTCACGAGACCCACTGGGCCTCAGGGGCTCCAGAGCGGCACGAGAAGCTGGGCTGGCACCGTGGGCCAGGGTCACCTTTTCGGCACCCTCCCGCGAATCAGCCTTCCTTTGCTCCTTGTCTATTCCTCCTCCTCGTCCTCTCTTTGTCTTCTGGGCCTTCGTCGCCATGGCTGGGCGCGGCTGGGGGATGGATTCCAGGAGGGGTCCAGGGACTGGCTCCGGGCGGGCTTTTGGTCCGCCAGGGGGGAGGAAGCCCTACGGGACAACCACGGCCACGGGACAGCTGCGGGACAACCGCGCGACAGCTTCGGAACAACCCTGGGACAAGCTTGGTACGCCAGGGACAACCGCGCCACTTGACGTGACCTGGGCCCAGTCAGTGCAGGAACTCTCGCACGGCCTCGCCTCGCCCTCACGCGCGTCGCGCACGCGGCGCGAGCCGAAGGCGAAGCCGGTTTCCCGGCAGTGGGACTCCGTTTCATGTCTATCTCGCCCCCCAGGGCTCCACTTTTGACAGACGTGCGTATATATGAAAGAGCGTGTTCTACCGCTGCTGGCGGAAAACCGGGGGGGGACACTACCGGTTCGAACCCCTCTCCCCCCCCCCCCCCTCCGGAAAACCGGGGGGGGGTCACTACTGGTTCGAACCCCCCCCCCCCCCTCGAAAACCGGGGGGGGTCACTACCGGTTCGAACCCCCCCCCCCCTCGAAAACCGAGTGGTGGGTGGTGGGGACGGACATTGGTGGGGACGGTGTTGGTGGGGACAGTGGTGAGGGGACAGCGGGACAGTGGTGGGGACAGTGGGACAGTGGGGACAGTGGGGGACGGTAGTGGTGGGGACAGTGGTGGGGACAATGGTGGGAACAGGGGGGACAGTGGACAGTGGTGGGGACGGTGGTGGTGGGGACAGTGGTGTGGGACAGTGGGAATGAGGTGGAAACAGTTGGACAGTGGAGCGTACAATGGTGGTGGAGGCAGTGGTGAAGGCGGTGGCGAGGACGGCGGTGGGACAATGTGACAGAGGTACAATGGGGACAGTGGTGGGGACAGTGGGGACAGTGGTGGGAACAGTGAGACAGCTCAGTGGGACAGCGGAGGAGTCAGTGGGACAGTGGGGACAGTGGGGATAGTCGGGCAGTGGTTGGGTCCCTGGAGACAGTGGGGGAGTGGAACCGTGGTGGGAACAGTGGTGGGGACAGTGGGGACAGTGCGACAGTGGTGGGGGCATTGGTGGGGACAGTAGGGACGGTGGTGGAACCAGTGGGGACAGTGGTGGTGAGGACAGTGGTGCTGGGAACAACAGTGGGGGATGTGATGCGACGGTGGTAGGGACCGGGAGTCGTTTGCTGGCGGTGCGTGGGGGGGGGGTCGAACTGGTAGTGACGCCCCTCCGGTTTTCGAGGGGGGGGGTTCGAAATGGTAGTGACCCCCCGCGGTTTTCCGGATCTGGAGGGGGGGGGGGGGGGAGGGGTTCGAACCGGTGCCCCCCCCCTGGTTTTCGAGGGGGAGGGGGGGGGGGGGGGGGAGGGTTAGGGGGGGGGGGGGTTTTGCCAGGGGAGGGGGGGGGGGGGGTCCAGCAGGGGGGGGGCATTTTCGGAGGGGGGGGGGGGGGGACCCCCGAGTTCCGGAGGAAAAGGTTGGCAATTTTCCACAGTAAAGCGGCGGTGGATCACGCTCTCTCATATACGCACATATTTAGATATCAAACAAGTGTGTACATACCATGTATGTGCAATCCATGTATAATAAGTATGGATTATATGTATATGTATATGTATATGTATCTGCATGCGTAATTGTATATATGTGTGTATATGTATATGTATATGTCAATGCCTGTGCCTATGTCTAAGTCTATGTCTATTGTATGTGTATGCGTATATGTATAGGTGTACGTATACGTATTTGTACATGTATATGTATGTACATGCATATGCATATGTATATGTTTGTGTTTATGTATTTGTATATGTATGCTTATACGTATACGTATAGACATACGTACACGTATAAGTATATGTATGTTGTTTTAATTACTAGTACTACTATTATTTTCTATTTGCTTATTATTAAATGTTAGTTTGTTTATTGTCATTCGTATTATCGGCATTCCTATTATCATTTATTTTTATTTACTTTCATTCGTATTTTAGTATTGTCATTATCATTTTTAGTTTTACTATTATTTTTTTAGTATTGTCATTATTATTACCATTACTATTATTATGTTGTTTTCTCTATGTATTATTATTATTGTTAGTATGATTATATAATTACATCAGTATAATGCTTATTATATGTGTGTGTGTGTATCCGTAATGGCTTTGCCCCCTGCCGCCAGCCCCCTCGCCGCCATGATGGGTCCTGCAGGAGCTTTGTGGGCATGTCTGGGCGCCGTCCTGAAGGTATCCGGGAGGGCCCCGCGAGGACGGTCGGCGATCGGCAAGACATGTTTAGGATGTTGAAGGGGATAGCAGCCTCGGGGGCACGAGTGTGGCGTTATTGTAATGGCCTCCGGCCAGTGCCGCCGATCTGGGGGGCTCTGGATTCGGTGATCTTGGAGTCGTCGGGGACGCTGTTTGGGAGGGAGGGCACTCTTGTAGTCGTCGGGGACGCTTTTTGTCGCTGACCTGCCCTCTGGGGGGGGGTCCGGGGAGGGTCCCGAGGGGAAGGTCCTGGGGGCGGTAGCAGCTAGATCTGAGGGGGGTCCCTGGGACCCCCCGAAACATCTTGGGGATGCGCAAATCATTAAGAAAACGCCAGGTGGAGTGTGGCGTTACTTGCACAAGAATGTGGCGCCGGGTGCGCGAGATTTGCAACATGTCGCGGTCCTGGGGGCGCGGATCGGGTGTGGGTTTACGAGGGATCGTGGCCTCGGGGGCGCGAGTGTGGTACAATGTTGGGGGGGGGTCGTGGCCTCGTGGGCGCGAGTGTTGCGAGACTCTCGGGGGATCGTAACTTCGGGGGTGCGAATGTGGTGTAATCTGTGGGGGATTGCGGTTTCGGGGGCGCTAATGTGGCGTATTTCACAGGGCGTCGTGGCCGTGGGGGCGCGAGTGCGGCGTAATTCGTTAGGGATCGTGGCCTCGGGGGCGCGAACGCGGCGTAATCTACGTGCCCCAGGGCCTCACGGAACTTTCGAGACCCCCCCAGGGGAAGGTAATTGGGTCCTCGTCGGCTCCCCCCCCTCGCGCGGACAGTCACAGTTTACGGGAGGAAGCAGAAAGCAGGGTTGCAACGTGGGGGCCTTGAAACTGGAATTGGCGTAGGGAGCAGCAAAGTAATTTACAAGGGGTCTTGGCCTCGGAGACGCGAGCATCGGGTAATTTACGAGGGATCGTGGCCTCGATGACGCGACTATTGCGTCATTTACACATTAGCCTGACGAAGGACCCAACCATATGCAGCTGCGAGTGCCGCGAGGGAGATGAGACGAAAGAGGGGGGCGCGCAAACTCCGAGTAGCGCACGCGGTACAGCCTTCTGCCACGAAACGTATGAAGGGTGTGCCGTCATGAGTCGGGAGACTCCTGCGAACGTCGCCATTGAGGCCTTCGGTGGAGCTCCCTATGGGGCCACGAACCATGTGAGGGGTGTGCCAAAATGGGGCGGCGGTGCCATGCGGACGCCCCCACTGGGGCCTTCGGTGGAGCTCCCTCGGGGGCCATGAACCATGTGAGGGGTGTGCCGAACTGGAGCGGCGGTGCCATGCGGACGCTCCCGCTAGGGCTTTCGGTGGAGCTCCCTCTGGGGCCACGGACAGTGTGAAATGGGGCGGCGGTGCCATGCGAACGCTCCCGCTGGGGCCTTCGGTGAAGCTCCCTGTGGGGCCACGATCCGTGTGAGGGGTGTGCCGAAATGGGGCGGCGGTGCCATGCGTACGCTCCCGCTGGGGCCCTCGGTGGAGCTCCCTATGAAGCCACGACCCGTGTGAGAGGTGTGCGAAATGGGGCGGCGGTGCCATGCGCACGCATCCGCTGGGGCCTTCGGTGGAGCTCCGTATGTGGCCGCGACCCGTGTGAGAGGTGTGCCAAAATGTGGAGGCGGTGCCATGCGGACGCTCCCGCTGGGGCCTTCGGTGGAGCTCCCTATAAAGCCCTGAACCGTGTGAGGGGTGTGCCAAAATGGGGCGGCGGTGCCATGCGGACGCTCCCGCTGGGGCCTTCGGTGGAGCTCCCTATGAAGCAACGGCCCGTGTGAGCACTGTTTCAAAATGAGGCGGTGGTGCCATGCGGACGCTCCCGCTGGGGCCCTCGGTGGAGCTCCCTATGTGTGCAAAATGGGGCGGCGGTGCCATGCGGACGCTCCCGTTGAGGCCTTCGGTGGAGCTCCCTGAGGGGCCACGAACCGTGTGAGGGATGTGCCAAAATGGGGCGGCGGTGTCGCATGCAACCGCTGCCACTTTGGCCTTCGGTCGAGCTCCCTGTGGTGCCACGAACCATGTGAGGGGCGCGGCGCTGACGATGGCGATTGTGAAGATCATGATGATGTGGATCCTGACGATGGCGATGATGATGACGATGATAATGCTGCCGATGATGATGACGAGGCGGATGGGAAGAGGGAGGAGTCTCTTCAAAACGAGGACCCAGCACCACAGGATGGTTGGGAAAAGCGTGGCCTCGGGCATAACTCTCTCTATTCATATATGTAGGCATATATACACACAGAGGTGCATACTATATATATATATAAATATGTATAATTTACAAACAAGGCTTACCTTAGGACCGCGAGCCAAGCGTACTTTACAAGGGTTTATGGTTTCGGGGACGCGAACATGGCGTAACCTACGAGGGATCGTGGCCTCGAGGACGCGAACATGATGTAATTTACTAGCGTGTATGGCTTCGGGGGCGCAGATGCTGCGTAAGCTGCAGAGGATTCTGGCTTCGGGGGCGCGACCATGGTGTACTTCACATAGTGGTGTACGACTGCGGAAACGCTAGTACCGGGTAGTATTCGAGGATTATGTTCTCGGGGACGTGGGTATTGCGTAACTTATACGGCTTGTGGCCACGGGCGCGCGCGTATGATGTAATTTATGATGGTTTAAGGCGTCGGGGGCGCGAATCTTGCGAGTTTTTGCGTTTCCCACGAGCCCCTCAATAATCCCCGATAACAGAAACGGTCAAGCATGATAGTGGAATGTTGTAGCACATCATGTTGGCATGCAGGTCGGAGCGGGGAGAGGCCGGAGCTACTTTGTCTCAGCGCTTTGCCAGTCCAAGGAAACTCGGACCCTCACTCAGTATGTTGGAGTCCACTCGTGGTAGCAGAGCCGTGTTGCGCTCCGCGGCCTAGAGCCGCGCTGCGCGGCAGCGATGGAAGAGGGATAGCGTCGGCTCGTGCTGCTGGCCCAGCAAAACCAGGAGCTCGCACGACGGCTTGAGGTCGCAGAGGGCGCAGCCCAACGAGCTCGCGCGCCGGCGCAGCACGCGGCACAGCCAATCCGTCTACCGCACGGACTGTCAGGGGTCGACACAAT